GAAATATATCACAGCACCCCTGCAAAATTAATTTAGTGCTACTGCCAAAACTAGGACCACCCACAAAAACACAAACTGCATATTTATAAACTGCTTGCTCACAGGCATATCCTATGTTGCTTTGTGCATAAGAAGAAACTTGATCATTGAAGTAAAACCACTGCCAAGAAAAGCAGAAATGTTTTGTCAGGTTGGCGTTTTTCAGTTTTACATTTAATTAACTGCCTTTCTCCAAGCTAGTTTTACCTTAAAAAGCTTTTAAGGTGTCAAACATGAACTACTGCTTCCACGAGTATGTATGCTGGATTGCAGTAAGGAGGTAATTCATCTCTCCCAACCATACTCTACAAAAGAGCTTTTATAAAGCAGCAAGAAACAGAGACTTTATTCATGTAACCTCATAAAACTTCACCATCAGCTTCGTTAAGTACACTAGGCTGTCAGGATAAAATAACCAACATTTATTATTAGAAAACAGATCAAGTTTGAAAAGATCAGTAAGACCCTTGGAAATATTTTCATTATTTATTACTGGGCATCTGCCTTAGTTTAGCTCTGAGTAAGGTATGAAACAATTCTGCATTCAGTGAAAATTCAGACTGCTTGCATTACTGAAGGTCTTGTGCTATCAGAAGAAGGGAAAAAATACAGTTCTACTCAAGAGGCAACAAGTGCAAAAATCTGCTCCTGAATTACAACAGTCCAAGGAAATCTAAATAATATTATTGTTTCAAACATGTCTGTTGCTTAACTTGCAAGCAAAGAGAAGTGAGGAGTAAGATATGCCTTAAGAGGCTCCAAACAATAAGAAAAGGAAACTCTATTTATAAACTGCTTCAAAGAAGGACAAAGCTATTAGAACAAAGACTAAATATGCTGCAATGCTTTGGGCTATTTAATCAAGTTTGTAGCAGCTATGAACTTAGTTTTGTTTTGTGATGTGCTTTTTTACTCCCTTGGTCTCACCTGTCTTACAGCTTTTGATCCAAGTCCACTACAATCTCTGCTGTTGAAGCAACCTCCACTGCTTTAGCAGCTGCCACTTTATGCTGATACACAACATACTGAGCAGCAGTGCTTCTGTGTAAGAAACACCAAAGGAAAGCAAAACAACAGCTAGAAATAATTCCTGAAAAGACTAGGAGATCAAAAGTATTTAATACACAGTCTTACATGAAAGAACAGTAAGCACTCAGAAGTTGAAACAGGTGAATGCACAAGATACAGTTCCTTACATACGCAAGGTCCATTTGAAAAGGAAGGGGTTTGGTTGGAGGGAAGAGGGCAAAGACATCCAAAAACCTCAACTCCCTCTATAAACCATCAGTAAGAAGAGCTATAAACTGTAGGCTGGTATTGCACCTATTAAGTGCATTACTCACATGACACTATTTCACAGTGTTACTACAGAATTAAATCTGTGCACCATAAAACTAGGACTACAACTCCTACATATTTTGGTCTCTACTGTAGGCAGATGAAAACTATTTTAATACACTAAATCCAAATCACTCTATTCTATGTTGGTGACAGGAATAAAAGTGTCGGAACTGTAATTTTGTGGTTAAAAGGCTGTGATTGAGATTTAACAATGCAAATCTATGTAAGCCACTCACAACTGGATAATAACCATTGCACATTTGAATAACTAATGCACTGCCAGCGTCAGAAACACTTTTTGTAAAAAAATAATTATCTGTGCTGCTGAAAAATAAAATATTGATTGATTCCATCAGCAACATCCTCAGTCAGTCAGAATAATGCATGCAAAATAAAAATTAACAAAATACTACAGTAAAACAAGCTTCCCAATTTAGCTACTGTGAAATTAGAATGCACACATATTGAGCTGTAACTGCAGATTTGAACTAACTCACTTTTACAAGGGAAAAACCTTAACCAATATGAGTGTTTATCAGCAACTTGCCTACTAGAGATCACACAACTAGATTACTAAATTGTTTAGGCATCACTAGGCTGCCCATTACATTAACAATTCATGCAATCAAATTTTTGATGTACAACATGACCAGAAACAAGAATTGTTTCAGGCAGAGAAATCCCTCTACAGAAAATATTTTTGCTGTCTGTAACTAAACCAAGTAACTGGTAACTGCATTAAACTTGATTACAAGATGTTTTTCAAAAGTAGTTATACTTAAAGAAAAAGAAATATCAAAGTTTAATGAGCTGGGAGAAAGATACAGATAGAAACTTTGAATAAGAAAGCCTAATACTGCAGCCTTATATGAGAGGTTCCAGTTCTGGTTGCCATTGCACTTACCATTTATCTTCCTCTTTTAGACTGAACAGTAAAAAGGGATAGGATATAAGTGAAGGAAGCTTACTTTTCAAAGCTTTTGAGAAACAAAAACAAGGATTAGAAACAATTATTACTGTCCTTCTAAATACATGGTTGGCAGAAGACTTTAATACGTTATGAGGATTATGCCAAGTTTTGAGTTTACCAAGACCTTATGTGGCAAAATACCATTCATCAGTATCAAAAAATGCAATTCTCAACAAGAGTCAACTTTGAAACTCTTCAACTTTTTTCAGTACATGTACAATGGTAATCTGAGACTAGAAGTACCAGATGGAATCTCTTCACAGTAAACAAGTAAAACAAATTTCAAAAATCCGTTGTCTAAGAAACTAAGTTGCAAACAGATTTGATGTATCACTTTGCAATTTCCAGAAGTGGTTTACACTTTTTCTCTACTGCAAAATGCAAAGACTTTTTCGATTCCCATTCACACTACATAGCTGAAGTGCAGTTATCTAAAAGCATGCTTAGTCACACAGTTGCCCTGATTAGAAACTGCTGCTAAAGAAATTAAATGCATCACTTCCAATTTTGTTTCAATTCTTCCTCTTAAAGTGCAAAGAGCATTAGAAGTAAAACATAAGTCAAAGCATGGCCAGAATACTGAAGACTAGTCTAGAGAAAACAGTTTTCCATGTATTATTGTATATGCCACTTCAACTTCACATGACATTTGAAAAACACCTGTACTATATATACCTTTATAGGTAACTTACAGCACTTTTGGTTGGGCTGTTACTGCACAGCCACATCTATATATTCTTGCAGTGTATTAATTAGTTGCAGATGAACACAATCTCAGTAATGTGACTCTGTGGGAAAGCTGCACTCTTCCAAAGCATTCTCCCACCTTTACCTTTCCTCTCCAAAAAATGCAACATATAAAAGGTCACAAAAATTATGCATAGTGATTGAAGTGCTTTCTATTTGAACCACTCCTCTTCCTTTCTTACTCTACATTTTTGCCAAGCCCAGCATACCAACCTGAACAGTTTCTATTTACAGAGTTTGGAAATTAAAACTGTAGATAAGCAATGAAGATGGTCAATTCAAGCACAGAATTGTGCAGCAGGAAGCACAGCTCCCACAGATCAGCCACAGGAGGATACTGACAGGTAGCTAACAGGGTCAAGAAAGTCAGGTGACCCCAAATGATGCTATGTGAAGATATTAAGGTGAAATGAAATTTCACATCTGGCACTATAAGAAGCCACAATCAGTAAGTACTATTTCTATATTACATCAGACAACTGTTACATGTTATTTACCGAAGTATGTTTAATAACATTTGGAAGACAGTATAAGTTTTGAATTCTTGGTCTACATCACCCTGAAGAAAAGATATGCTGAAAGCAGTTTTCTTTTACAGTGTGAGCACATATGGAAATAAATGGCTGACTGCTTTCTGATGCAAGTCCCTCCAAACACAGTGAGCAAAACAAACTGATACCTGCTAGTGAAATCAAAGGAACTATTTCGCTTCCTCCCCATCTTTCCTGAAAATACTAAGAGGCAGAGGAAGGGGGAAAAAAAAAGGAAAGAGATGTTCTGCTGTAAGCAAGGAATCATATTATTTTCTAGCATCTCTTAGGATGTCGCAGAACATACATACTCTCTTCTTAGCAACCCTACAGAAAAAGTTATGGTACAGAATGCAAAATAGGTATTTCTTCCACAAAAAGAGGAAGTAGCTGAGAAACTAGCAATTTATTTTTGATTCATGTGTCAAGCTGTACCTGTGAAGGGCAGCAAAATTCTGTCCTGCACTACAGTTGTTACAACAACATAAAAGAGCATTTGTGTGAATCGCTTATTCATTGCTTCCTCGCTAAGAATAGATGTAACAGCAAAAGGTCTCCTAGTCATGTGAAACTAAAGCATTCTCAACACAGGTTGTGTTCATTTGACTGATTTGGTTGGCAGAAAAAACTGTCATACCCTTTGACCAAAACAGATCATTGTGAAAACTGAGAAGCTGACTCCTCTGACAGCATCATTTTGCTAGTCCTGCAGGATGAGTTTTCAGAGACAGAGCATACCTAAATTACTAATACAGATAATGTAGAAATTGTAGCAGAGGGCGAATTTTTCCCCCACCTTTATAATCTTTGTTTCCTTTCATAAAGATTTTGATTTTTTCCTCCCCTAGTTTTCCAGTAGGATGAAACAGGAGAGTGATTTTAGGCTCCATATTAACACTGCCCATTTTGGTTTTGAAGCATACTATTCTTAGTAAGTTAAGCATAAACCAAAACAAGCAATTCAAACAAGCTTAACAGTGTGAACTGATTTAAAACTTAAACCTTCAGACAGACTAGGGCACTTCCTCATGGAAACATCACTAATTCCCATCATTTCCCACTTATAAAAATTGTATTATTTTACTGAAAGAGCTCATTTCCCAAATCAAAAAAGAATAATTATTATCTGAACATCTTGACTTAAGTGAAGTGTTACATCACCAGCTTGCAGGTAAAGTGACAGTGATGTAATCATACAAGAAAGTAACTACACTACTGAATCTGCACCACTCCACTCAAGAGAACGATGGACTAAGGAAAGTGAAGAAATACTAAAGAAAGTAAACAAGAAGGCAGGTCAATAGCTAGTATAAAACACAATAAAATAAAAAATTCTGTCGCAATTTGGACTTTCATCATAGAATTTTACTTACGTTATCCATGAAATTTGGCTTAAATCCTCCTTCCTGCTGTCGCCGCAATTCCTCCTGTTCCCTCTGGCGGAGCATCTCTTCTTCACGACGTCTATGCTCTTCTTCATGTCTAGAATATTTTTCAAAAATTATGTCAACTTAGTCTCTTGACCTGTTCAGGCTTGTACTCAGTCTCAGGAGATAGATCAAGCATATAAACAAAACATACCTGTAATTATTTATTGGTTTTTTATGCAGTGTAAGGCAGAAAACTATTTATGAATTTAATTATTATTAGAGGATTTCTAATTTATTTTTTAAACTGGAATACAGGTAATTACCATACCAGTACATTCTGTACCTATCCTTCCAGCTACATATTGCTAAGTTAAAATATTCTGGTTTTTAACAAGTCACTATGTATAACATTTCAGTACTGCCAAAAGACACATTTTTAACTCTGAGATGTGATTGTGTTGCTCTTTTCTCATCAACATTCATTGTGATATTTAACACAAAAACTATAAACTCAATGTGATGATACTATGTCTTATTTTCTTAAACTTTAGCAAAGGCATGAAAACAAGTATTTGCATGAATCAGATCTTAAAGGAAAAACTGCTTGCAACATACTAGAGAATATCATGTGAAAATACCCTCCAAAATTCCACGTGAGACTACTGAATTGCAATGTCATGAAGCGTGTTCTTATCTACTACAGCTACGCTTCAGTCACAAGGTTAAAATAGATATGGAACAAAAAACTAGGTTCAAACATTTCTACATTTAGAAATCTCAGAAATTTACAACAGAACTAGCAGGGCTGAAATAAATGAACAAAATTCAAGCAACACTTGAAGCCACTCTTATATTAGCATTACCAGAAACATCACACTGCTTAGCAGCAGAAACATTTCCATCTGGTATCAAAAGCAAGCTCCACAGGCTAAAGTATCTAAAATCATGAAGGCCTATAGCTGCTGCATGCCACACCTCCACGGAGTAGAAGACAAAATACCTTAATTGTATCTGCTTGCGTTTTTGAAGTTCTTGATTTCGAAGTTCTTCCAAACGCCTCAGTTCTTCTTGGCGCCGCATGAGATCTAATGGGATCAGAAGTGTATTTAAATATAAAAACTGCCAATCAATAATGTGGCAACACAAAAATTGTTATTAGTCAGATTACAATTCTTACATTCCTTTTTTAAACAAATTTCTCAATGCATTTAACTCATTTCTTCCCATGATGCTAAGTCTAGCATATGAAAAACACACTGGATCCATGGCTCACAAACCGAAGGGTACAGGACAGGCAAAGCCCCCAAAGCAGGTTATGGAAACAGATCTGGGCAAGGCATACATGTTCTCACAATGCTGTATACTGCTAAAGTCACACGACCAAGAAAAACAATACAATATATATGGGCTTCATTACACTCTCCACTACCTATTGCATAGCAATACATGGTGCAGTTCAGAAAAAAAAAAGAGGTATATAAACTTCCAGGACATGAAATCCAAAGCCCTGTGGAGATTTACCACCAGACTCTGCTTATAGCAACTTATAAATGACTAGCCTTTCAACCCTACCAAAAAAGAAACAGCCATAGCCTCTTAAAAAGCACTTAAAATGCTCTTAAAAACCAGGGCAATAATCACATTAATTACTTCTGCTGACCAGTCACATTATTGATTTCTGCCTGGAAATTTATGCTTTCTTCAATGAATACTCATGCTACCTTTAGCTAGAAAGCAGGTCTTTGTCTTGTCTATCTTCATAGAATATTGGCCACATGACATTATTTATAGACACCGCAAGAAACATTACACCATGCCACCTATTACACCCATTACATTAAAGTAATGCGTAACATTTCACACATATCTTCAACTATTCTGCACATTCCTCTGTGCATTTCTTCACTATACCAATTAAATCATCTTTTTAGCTATGCAAACCACTTTCCTCAAACTTGCAGCAGCATAAATTATTATGACTTCAAATTTTACTTTAATATCTAAAAATCACAATGACCAGTAGATTTTGCCAAAATATCATGTATGTTTTCTTTTCTAACAAAGCAGATTATCCGATTTTTACTCTCACAGCATCCTTATTGACATTACACATCCTTTCTCAAGCACATTTTACAGCATTGCTTTTTCAAACTCTTCTGCAAAATTAACACATTTCACACTTCAACAGAATATGACTACATAAAAGATTCACTCACATCATGAAGTCTGAGAGTTGCTTCTTTCCAACTGTGGCTGCCATAGAAGGCCTGGCCACTGTTATCCTGATACTTGGGGAGCCCCACCAGCACAATTGCTTTTTTTCCTTTTAAATAACCTTCAGATTATCTCAGACTATAAGTGTCTTTTCTTTTCTTTTAAAAATGAACCTTTAGGTGGCTTCAGGGTATTACTGAGATCAAGAACTGAACCATTTTATGCTCAACATTGCGCACCGTGGGAAAAGATATTTCCTTTTTCGTTATCACTTACTGCCCTTTGTTCTTAAGGTATAGAACCTTGCTTTTCCCAGTGTTGATTTTTTTCCACAGCATAGTTGTGATTGCTGCCTTTCCTGAAATTGTTAGTATTTCAAACTTCAACACAGCAATTTATGATTCAGTACCATTTGACAACAGCAGAATCCTGGCACAAAGCCCTACTAGTCAGGTGAAGAGAGATCTGCAAGTTCAGGCTGTGCACAGGAGCCATTCATGTTAAAAGATCTGCACTGATGGTAATTCTTGACTGACATGTTGGGCACAGGCCCTTTCTCTGAACAGAAAAAGATCTGCTCTAAAGCAGCTACGAGGAAAAGACAAGACAGAGGATTATTAGTAGCCTCTGCACTTTCTTGTACTTAAAAAAAGGCAAGGTCTTCATTTTATCCTCAGCCTTGTACACAGCAGAGGGCAGAAGGTAAAAACGTACCCTCACTCCAGAAGTTCCTACAAGCTGGAATAAGTCCACAAAGATTTTTAAGCAGTTTTAGCTGCTGATTTTTCAGGTTCTAAAAATGGAAATAAATGCTAACTTCTGTATAATTGCTAAAAAATCAGGTTCTGGGTTCTGGTTAAATTCAGTTCCATTTTCCAGTATTTTCATCATCTATTTAACCATTATTATGAGGGAATATTTACAAAAGCCTGATGCATACCACCAGGACATAGATCAGAAATATCATTCCAATTTACTTACACATGGAAACACGTGTTCTGCTTTACAAATTACTTCTGACTCACTCTGTCAAAACATGACACTTGAAAGTGAAAAATTACACATATCATAAGATTTAATTCTACCCTTGGTATTAATACCACACCACAAAACCCAACACATTCTACAGTTCAAGCCTACAAGCTCTCAAAAATCAATCTCTACAAAGCCTCTGCCTGCAGGAGCATATGGATCAGGAAGCTCATCCTTCCTGTATGTTTTTACACTCCTAAACAATTAAAATACTACATTACACATTTCATAATGACTTCAATACACCTTCAAATCTGAGTTTGTGCATCAGGTATACAGAAATATTAATTCTAGGATCTGACACCTTAGAAGTTCATTGCATCTTTACTGAAAGCCCTGTGATGCTATCTCATTAATATAATTAATATTCTTGGTATGGCATGAACAACCAGCAAGACTTAAAGGCAGCTAATCTCCAAAAATAAATACAAGAGAAAAAAAACCTTATTTTCATAAGATGGAGAATTGAGATTAAAACAGATAGAATCCTTACTAATCCCCACATCTTGGGAAATTAAACATCTGCAGGTGAATAAGTAGCAATCTAATTATCTGAATAAAATTCCAAGTTATCTGGTATCAAAGAAGTAGTCTGATAACCAAAATGTGAGGGGGAAAAAACCCTCCTCCCACACTAACAAAAAGCACATTTCCTTACTGGAAGGTTAGCAGCAAATGCATTCATGTTCTAATGGCTCTTTAACAGGAGTAATTCTCTCCTTTTTCCATATAGAAGTGGAACTTAACAGGTATTCAAGAAGAGGAACTTTTTCCTTCACACTGTCCTTAAAAGTAACCTGAATTTCTACAAAACACACCAAAGCAGGTTTCCCATGCTTTACCATCAAGATCTTTTCTATCTAAATAAACAGGCCACTGTCATCTTGTCTCAGTTTAAAACATGGTTAAGGAATGATAATTTAAGGTAATCCCTAATTTTGCCCTCAAGTACAGGCAACAGATGGATTAATTCTAAGAAAACTAAGGAGCATGCGTTCTAGAACTGTATCACTAGCACTGTAAAATATTAACAATTAGACAAGCCAATGGTAAATTCATCCAACCTGTAACTTCAAAACCTTAGAAATATCAGTCACGTACACACAAAAATTTAAAACAGATACAGAACTGAAAAGGGAGGGCTGTTCTTATACTTGTGTATCATAGGCATTGCTGCTTTATCACATTGCCATGCACATTCCTCACCTGTGAGATACACCTATGCCTACAAGTGAACTAAATGCTTTAACTTTTTTCCTCAGAAAATAAACCTACAGCTACCAATTACTTTACATGACCTACTCATACTAGACAAATTAAAGAAGAGAAGAAAATAGACCTAGACAGTTGCCTCTTTCTCAGCTTCTTAATTCATTTCTGCAAATCATCAGGGATTATGTGTAAGGAGAAATATTACTTCCTTTTTCTCAGTTAAATGCATTTAATTAGTGTCTGGCAAAATTTCCAAGTATAACATACAGCCAACATGCTACACAACAATAAAAGAAAGTCTGTGACAAAACAAATTTAATACTAGTAGACGATGTGATTTTACCTTGCCTCATCAGCATTAGCTGATGCTCATGTCTAGCTGCTTCCATTTCTGCCTCTAGTTTCTCTTTGGCTTCTCTAATGTTCCTGTCAACCTGTTCACGCTGTTGCTTTTCCATCTCATCAAGAGCCTTCCACCGTGAAGCATACTCAAACTCAAATGTTCCAGGCTGAGCAAAACGTGGAGGCTGTTCTCT